AACTGATGTTATAGCTCTGATGGGTAATGATCGTTATCCAGCTATACTTTTTTTAAATTTTTTAAAATTTTTTCCTCTGCAATATCTTAAGTTTATGTCCCTGGAAACTTTTGTCAATTTAAAAACAAGATATTACACCCCTGTCTTATAACTGCATAAATATGATTTATTATCTGTAAGTCAGATGTCATCCTTAGAAACCCTTAGGTTTCAGAGTTGCAATATAGATATACAGTACACAGAGGCATTTCAGTTTTCCCAGTTTAATAAATGTGGCACCGATATGCCTTTGGCCTTTTTAGCCTCAAGACTTTTCACAGTTGATCTCCAACTTATCAAACAGCGAAGGAAGCTCTGGCATGTGGATTCAGAGTAGTGAAGAGAAATATCCTTACACAACAGAAGTTCACTTCACAAACCAACTTTTTTTGATGTGGGAGCCCCGAAGCAGGGTGATGGAGCAACACATCTGTCTTGAGCTGATATAACACTTTGACTCCAGTATTAGCAGGATAGCCCAGGCAGCCTGATCATCAAAGTAAGAACACTTTCAGTAAGGATTCGAGAAACTAGATTTTCACAGAGGTGTTCCAACTTGATATTAGAAGTAACTCAAAGGCTTTTTGTTATGACCTCTTTTTTTCAATTATATTCACCAATATTTAATAAATAGAAAATTGTCCTGTACTCTTCTTGAATTGGACTGCTTAAGGCGCCGGTACATAGGAAAAGATCTGCTAGCTTGAGTCTAATGTTCTTTTTGACACCATGTTGGTTCCTCTGTTTGTGGATCTTTTTTTTCTTTTTTTGGTTTTACCTCTGTTTTAAAGCTTTCTGTCTAAGGAAAACCAGCTGAGGGCAACCCCCCACACCAAGCATGCTTGTAGCAACAGTGGAGAGGAAAAACTCCATTTTAACAGAAATAAGCCTCCAGTAGAACCAGGCTCAGTGTGAGCGGCCATCTGCTGAGGCCGACTGGGGTTCAAGGAGACAGAAGCAGAGATACAGAAAGAAGCAGGCATACAAAAGGCAACTGTCAACCAGCTCCACAGACGGCCCCGTCCAGGAAACACACAGCCAGGCAGACAAGCTCCAAACCACCTCCCATGTCAGAGGTTGAAATAGAGCACATGCAAGTAGTCACAGTCAGAGAAACAGGACTACACTGGAAAAAAAGGCCAATGTCCAGCATCCTAAAACAAAGGTGTTGATGCCAGCAGCACAGCTGATATTTATCACCAGGATGGTGTCGCAGCCAAGCTGGATCAGACCAGATCAAACTACTATGAGGAAAAAAGCAGTGAGAGCATAATGTTAGAGATTGAGCTAACACATGCTGCAGAATGGGAGATTAGAGATAGAATGATAAAAAGTGGACCTTTAAAGGACCCGTTAGCTGTTAAAGGTCTCTTTTTCCAGCTAAGTCTATTTGCACAAAAAACAATGTGGTCAATATTTACCCACTAAATTAGCTTTGTTTGTTTATGGTCCAAAATGTTCCACTGCAGTGAATGGATTATTCTGTCTGATTCTTATGAAAAATATTTAAGCAGTTTCCCCATCCTATAAATTCAAAAAAATTATAGGAATGAAATTAGGTTTTCATGCAATACAGTTGCATATTTACAAAATTCCTGGAAAAAAAATGTTTGCACTATAGATGTGTCTGCATATAGTAATTCTCTTCTGACAAAAGTAACAAGGACAGTTATCCTCAAACTTCATGTGTACCCATTTAATCTTTAGTGAGGAGTATTTTTTTTTTCCTCATGCATGAAAGCTAGATTCTTTAAACGATTTAGTCAGTTTGATTTTCAGGCACAGCTTCTCTCACTCAGGTTCAGTTTTCATCAGGAAAACCCCTTTTTGAAATCAAAACATGTTTAATCTCTCACGGTGGGAGAGGAAGGTTTTTATAGATTGCTGAGCGCTTTCCCTTTTAATCCAGAAGCATGTGGTCAGATTTAAAGGTTTTGATCGGTGGGATTAAAATTTTTTCCCTAAAGCCTTTTGCCTTCATCTTTCTTTCTCATAGAGTCAAATATTAAAAACTCAACATCAATATTAACCTTCCTCTATTTTAAATATTGATAGATGTTGAGATGCAAACCCTGCAACAAGTGGGAACTTTTTGGGGGTGGTGTTGTGGGGGTCTTTCTTTCAGATGTCAGATTATGCTTTTGCTTTGTATTCGTTGAACACATAGGCATTGTTGAATTGACTATTTATTTTTAATGGGGAAAATGCATTCATTCTATATTTCCTCATAGTTTCAGTAGCCAATGCTGGAAGGACAGATGGTCAGAAACTCTGAAAGAAGAAGTCCAATGGCAACCAAGACAAATATCAGGAGCTCAATGGTTCATGATGGTGAACAAAGCTTGGCTGCAATACTCTATAATCGAGGGGAAGTGATAAAGAAAGAACACCGAGTGCAGAGTATGATGGCAACAAAACACTTTCCTCCAAACGCTTCCATGAATTATAGACTTCTGTCATTAGGTCACAGTTTATTGTTCACTTTTCCCTGTCTCTGAGTTAAAGAGGAAAGGGGAATATATTTGGTTTTTGATTAAGGTATTGTTGACCACACAGTGAGGGCAGATAGGGAACTAATAGATCAGAATGGTATCCTTTTATATCTTTCATTCAGCTGTAGAAAAACCGCTAACTCAAAGTTATGTTTGAGCGGCGTTTGATTTATTTTTATTCAGTGGACCATTTACATTTAGTGAGTTTCTTTCACTAATTGCTTTTCAGGAAAAGTGATACAAATCTTGTTTAGTCTTGCTTGACAGGTTATAAACAGAAGTCTGTTTCTAAATTTGCATCACGCTAACATTGCTTATTAATACAGTAGTAGACTAATCAAACAAGAGTCAACATTATGGCCTTAGGTTTGTCTCTGGGACTCTATAAATACCACTCAAATCACGCAGACTCCTATAGACCCTAAACAGGGGCCCCAATGTTCCAGTTCAAACAGTGATTCCCTCTGTCTCCTTTTTTCTTTGCGCGAATAAAAAAGAAATACATTTTGTTTATTCCTTGGTATTGTAATGAGAGGTTGGGAGGTTTATTGGGATTGAATCACCTGACTACTGCCTCAGTTGGGTTGTAACTGTCCCTTGATTAAGCTCTACGGGCATTATTCATCATCTTTGCAACTGCAGGCCACTAAAGTTCAATTTAGCTTATAGGGAATTAATCACTGAATATCAAATGAAACCACTAATGTTTAAAGATAAGTAGACAGAAACAACCAGACATGAGCAGGTCTAAGCAGAGATGTTTATCTGCAGTCAAAGAAATGATCTTATCAAGGAGGATGTATGTGCTGAAGGAGGAAGAGATGGTGACCTTTTTATTATCAACTTAAATAGTCTGACTTCAGAGAACCAAAGGAAGAAACCATAGCAAGTAGTTTGCCATGTTATACATCACAAATGTAACATTACCTTAAAAAGAGATTTTTCTCTTTTAGGCTGCATCTAGCGATTATTTTGTTAATTAATCTGATAACTATGTTTCCGAATCACCAATTATTAATCAGAGCAGTATGTGCTTAATATGTTTATTTTTTTCCCCAGCATTTTAACCAGTAAACCTGCTCTATCTTTTGAATTGATCATGAAGGTTTCTCTTTTTAATGGAAAGTACATATATTTTTTTTTTATATAGCTTTGGATCAATAACTGCTTTGAGTCTTTATCGAAATGGAATTTGTTAAAGAATGTATTTACTTTACAATTACTAAGTTCAAAATTATTTCAATAATCAATTAATCAGATTAGATTTTCTTTTCTGATACAGTTAAAACAACGATGACTTTTCTTTCTTTATTTCTATACCTTGGCACACAAATGTAAGCAGGTAAACATAAAAGCCATTTTAAATCTTTCAATGTATTCATTTACTCCTGGTTATTTACCAACTTTTTTTTTGCCCTAAAAAAAAAAAAAGTCAATGTTGAGCAAAAAACACTGATCAGGTAAGACGCAGCAGATGATTTAACTAAAAAAACCAAGCAATTATTGATGTAAAGAACTAAAGGTAACTTTTTAGATGGACTATGTTGTGATGTCCCACACCATCTCTGTGTTGTCCAGTCTCTCTCTTTTTTTTTTTTTTAACAAGCTAGTTAATTAATTACAGTTAATTACTTTAATTAATTAACTCGTTGACTAGTTAACTAGAGTTAACTTGACTAGGGATGACCCAACCGGAGATAGATATTGGAAATTGGTCCAGTATCAGCCCAAGAAACAAATATCGGAATATATCTGCCTCCATCTGAAATCAATGAGATAAGCAGGCTGATAGAAAAACTGCACTTCAATCCACCCGTTGGTTAGTAGCAAATAGGTCAGTTGTTCTCATCCCGATTGTTGTTCTCTGTTTGAGTAACATCACTTGATCAAGCCTTTTCTAATTTACCAGCCTAGAAATAGTTAAAAGTATCTATGATTTACGCTGGTATTTTATCAAGTCAATATCGGAATCAGTCAAAACTCTAAAGCTGTAGTATTGTTACTTTAGCAGAAATTAATCAGATGTATCAGTGGATCTCTAAACTTATTGTGTTAGCTGTTTGTCCTCATGTTCTTCTGTAATAAAGTGTCTTTTTGACTCCAATGCTCCAGAAGGACGGGGGGTGGCTATTTGATTTGCATCTGACTTGCAATGTGCTAAAGAGGAAGGACCTCCATGCTGCTTAAATACATCAGAGCTCCAACTAAAGATATCTCTGCTGTGAGCCGACAGAATTGAAAAAGACTAGGTGTCGAAATGTCTTTAGAAAAACTAAGAGCTTCTCTTCCAATCTGAGCCTGTTTTGTGACTGTATCTGATTGTTTATTCTCTCGTCTTAGATGGCAATAGAATATTTCTTTTGAATGGAAATGTTTATCCCAGTTAAACTCCAGTTTTTCAATTTATTACATGAAATGTTCAAAGCTGTATACATTTATGATGAGCTGTTTTATTTCTCCTCTTCTCAGGGTTCCAGGTTGGTGTTGTGAGAGAGCAGGCTACCTGTGGGGGGTGGACCGCCTGGGACATTGTGTCCCTTGTTCTCAAGGTAGGAGCTAGCCTGTAGCCAAACGTTGTTTTTCTAGGGCTAAATCCACTTGGAACTGAAGATGTTTTCCACACAGAAGTGTTTGAGAGTGAAAATAAAACCAAAGGGACCATAAATGGTAGTTCTATTGCCACACCAAGGCACGGGCTGGTACTGGTTTCAAACTCTGGTATGAAAAAGTCACGGTTTCAAAATTGCTGAAGTTTTCCATCATGCTGTTTCTGAAGTGTAAGCATTTTATTTTTTATACTTTTTAAAATTTTTCATTACAATGAAACGTACAACTAACACAGCTCTTGGGGCACTGATTTGTAGTTAAATAGTAAGAAAGAAAGGGGGATAAAAGAGAACATTACAGGATGTTACACCTAGTTATGCTTCCTTGCTCTTGTATGTCAGCCATTTAGACCAGCGTTTGTTGTAGGAATGTCCTTTTCTATGTGAAAGATAAAAAGTGAATCTCCTCCACCACTTCCCACCAGTGGTGCAGCTGGGGAGGGAGTTTCTTTAGCAAAGAGTGTGTAATAGCTTTTTTGCTTGCATTTTTGCTTTTTCGCTAACTTTAAAATGATACTCAAATTCTTTTTGAAACACTTCTCCAGATATCAGCCCCAGCAGAAATATTCTGGGGTCTTTGGGGATGATATATCCCAAACTCTTCCCGCTGGTCTGACAGATTACATCCCAGTAAGTTGCCAACTTTGGGCAGGAAAAATACATGAGTGATTGACATTATCTCCAACATTGCTGTTCCTCTCGAAATATTAGCATATTTGGTTTTAAATCCTATCAGAGGGAGTGTGCTCAGGTTGTGAGCAGCTTCAGCTTCACAAATCCTTCCCCTGCACACCCCTGGGAAAAATGGCTGAATTTAGGGGAGCAGCTCAAACATTTCCTCATTCTTTGGTCCTTTCAAAGAGGGCGCTGCATACACCATACACAGCTCCACACTCTAAAGCTTTCTAATGTTAGATATATGGGAATACTTAAGCTACTGCAAGAAAATAGTTTCCCTACATGCTGTCTGACAGTGGCAACTAGAGGAAGCTAATATGATGGCACGTTTGTGGGAGAATCACCCAGCCCTGTTTGCTTAAATAAAGGTGAAGTGTATGCCGGCTACAAATGGAAAAGAATAGAAAATCCCTTTATGCCCCATAACTGGGAAATTATTGTGTTTACAGCAGCAAAAAGATTATAGGAAAAAAAATTTAACAAACTATCTTTAGCTGGACATTAGCTGGACTAGCTCTAAGCAAACTACTATTTAGAGACCCTCTATTTCTTCAATCAGTAGCTGCATTATCGTATCTCTCAGAAACCTATAATAACTACCTGACTGTTGTTGAAGTTTTCTTAAGATGCAACATAAATTAACCGTGCTTTCTGTAATGTATGAATTGTTATTCGCTGCCTAAATCCACACTATATACATCTGATTTTAACGAATAGATGGTAGTCGTAGGCAGATACATTATGAGGTGAAAAAGTGATCCAAGCTGTGTGGTTGCCCATAATTATTTTAGAGCAACAGTTTAACTGAGAAAAAAAAAGCTTGATTAAAAAACTATATTTACATTTTGTTTATATCCGGCTTTGTAATCCAGGGTGGAATCATTGGCAGCTTGGTTATACATTAGCTGTGGGAAAAAGACAGAGCTGGTCTCTTTGCTCTGACTGCATGCAGGGCAGCTGCAGGTGTCTGTGAGACAGCACTTAGAGGAGCCTCTGCAGCTCTCAGTAGTGTGGTCAGAGAGTTAGGGTAGAACTGCAGCTTCCAAGTTTGCTACAAAATACAAATGTCTCCATTTGCTTTTGGAAAAAGAGTTGCATGAGAGATCTGCATTGTAGCCACCAGTAACCTTCAAACCTTAGCCAATTTAACAACAAGACCAACAGGAGCCGGTGATGTTGTTTTTTTAAGATATACTTTAACATTTGATGATATTTAAAAAGTTTTTAAACTGTTATGATTGGAATAACAGTGACAGGCCTAGTGGTGAGGGCATAACCACTAGGCCTGCTCCCTGGGCGCCCCACGATGGCAGCCCGAGGGGATGGGTTAAATGCAAAGGTAAATTTCTCCAATGTGAGATCAATAAAGTTCAATTATTATTATTAATTTATTATTTTTTATGTGCTTTTTTTTTTTTTTTTTTTTTAATATAATCTGAAGGTTTCCTGACATATTTGGCTGTGGCGGTGTGCCGTGATCAATTCCATGTAGGAAAAACCTTGTGCAATGAACGTACTGCAGCTCTGGCATTGCTTGTTACACAATCCAACTTCTATGCATCACCCACTGTTAGAAAGTAACAAAACAAACTCCTGGATCCTAGTTACTCTGGGACCCTAAGCTGTTGTCCTGTTCGGCGTTAGTAAAACAAATACCACCACTGTGTTGCTATGGTAGACTGTTTGCTGGTTGTGCTTGTAACAACTTGTCCACTGCTTTTTGGAATTGCATTGTATATTAAATTACTTTCAACTCATGGAGAAAGAAACAAATCCCTTCATATCTGTGAATTTGTATACACTTGGTCATACTTGTAATCTCTGTTGCTTCTTTTTGCATTTAACATTTTATAATTCTAGAAGTCAAAAATCATGACTGTGCATTTAAGGTGAGAGCCTGCAAGGGGGTATTTTTCTGCATGACACCTGTTATCAAAAAAGGCGCACCTCTGATACTTAAAGGCAACTGTGGCTATAGAGATTATGGTGATGATCAGCCCACAATTGGGCAAAGCATTTTATTTTTCTCTTTTCATTGAAAGATTTCAGAAATAGAGATATAATCATGGCATACCAAGGACCAATCACAGCTGCTTTTTGTCTGCGCACTTCCGCTTGAGGTCTGCACGGGTTTGCAACTGTCCGACACACAGTAAACATTGTTTTATGAATATTTTTAACTGCTCCAATCATCACTGCTTTTTTTACCCAGTGCTGCAGGTTTCTCAGTTCAGTGGTTGTTTGTATTTAGTTTTTTTATTGTTGAATAAAGGAAATATTCTTAAAAAGCAGAATTGTATTTTTTGTATTTGATGGAGGAAAAAACTAAAAAATCCAACAGGCAGCAGCTGGAGAGGTGGGGACACTGTCTATCTCTATAATTCATATGATAAGAGAAAACTCTGGCTGCCCTGATTCGACTCATTTTGATGGCAGTTTTATTTCTAAACCTTTGAATAAATTGATACCAGTAACCGCCCTGATACTTTGAGATCCTTTTGAGGTTTGCTCTTGTTGTGTTCCTCTCTAAATCTGTCATCCGGGATAGAAATCTCCCAGTGATGCACTGTTGTTGGTATTTCCACTCATTGCAGGAGTTTGGGAGGGAATGTTCTGCCTGTGCTGCACCCACTGCATAGCACTGGCCAGGGGAGGGCTGCCATTGGAAAATACAAGGAAGGGCTTGGTCCTAAGTAAAATATCCCAGAGTATATCAGAGAAAGGTTCTCCTGGGTGTAGCTGCCTGATAAGATCTGTGTTTGAGCTCAGCCACACAGAATTTCTGGGTGTTAAAGGGCCAGTGAGCGGTTGACCCTGTAGCAAACATGTCCACAGATATTGTGCTGCCACTTTGCTGCAGTGACGTGGGAGATGGTGTTTTATCATCTTCCTCTATATTCATTTAACCTGGTATCTTCTAAATCTGCTTTTGTGTCATTTTTTACTTTGCATCATTGTAAATTTCTAGTCAAATCTTAAAAGGATTTTATGTTATGTTTCTTTGTACTTAAAGGCGCGTATTCACCCCAACTCTATAGAACAACTGATGTATTTGCCTTGGATTACTCCCATTTTATCTTTCTTTTGCCTCAATCATGGAAACTCTCCATTCTTTTAAGGATTTCTTTTGGCTTGTGTGGATATATGTTAGCAAATAATCAATCCAGTTCTCTTGGGTGTGAAAAACAAAGTTTAACACTAGGACTCCCAGCATTCTGATCCTAACAGAACTCCTACTGGCAGTCAATTTTGACAGGGGACATTTTACCCAATGGAATGCAAGTGTAGTGATGAAGTCATCGACTGAATTGGTTCTAATGTGCGATGTTAATCCAAATATCTTTAATCAGATATTATTTCAGCTGTTATATATTGCTTATGACACACAGTCCTACTAACTTTGTGTTAGAACAATAAATGAAAGAGTGATTCAAGCATTAATCATGGTCAAACAGTTAATTCTGCACATACATGGAATAAATTCACCACAAATTCTGTTCAAAATATAAGAGTTTATTAACAAAAATCATTCAGCTCCAAGTCAAATATATTTCAGTTTAACACTCTCAACTATGACTAGTAAACTAAACTAAACTAAACTACTATATACAAAGAGGAAGGGGAAATATGGTTGAAAACCATATTACAGTTTAAGATGGCTCTTGTGTTTGAAACCAAAGTTTATCTGGAAGAATTTGGGATATGATCAAATTAGCTTTTCACTATTTTTAAAGAAATTGGAATGTTTTCAGACCAATTCACAATGCAAATCCATGAGGTGAATAAAACATTATTTGGCGAAATAATGTTTTATTGAATGATTTGCTTAATCAAGAACCAATAACCTTTAGTTAAATGATTCTTTACCCTCTTTGAAATAGCTAGCAGCAAATGGACATCATGATTCCACTAAATGACTCTTGGTCAGACTTGGTAATGGAAATGTCACGAGCATCTGAGGAACACATGAACACTAATGTTATATTACTGTTTAAATCCTTAGTGAATAAAGCTTGTCCAAGCTTCAACAACAGCTCAACACATATTCCTGTAGCATAGCGTAGCATGCAGTCCATTCTGTTAGCTTGACCCATCAGTAAACACATTAAATGATCAAAATCATCAATTAAATTAAATTAAATTA